AGTTAAATGTTTTTGGATCAAATTTATAATATCGTTGTCGAAAAACTTAAAACTTTGTATATTATGTGAGTTATGTATTGTCTTTTAGTTTAAACAAAATTAAAAGTTACATGCAACTATTTTTAAAAATTGGTAGTAGTCATTTGTTTTGTCTAACTATTAGTCTAACAGACTACTGTTAATTGTATTTAAACTTTATGTATATCAGTCCTAATAACATAATGAGTAAGGTAATTAACATGTAACAATACATCTAAAAAAAGATAACAAACATGTAGATTATCCATTTCAAACACGAAGATATTTTTTAGTCTAAAATTTACAGTTGAAATATCTAGAAAGCTCGGCATTGTTATGAAGAGCTCGACATTGTTATTATGTATATAACTTTTCCAAATTGGAATTTGGAATTTGAGACATTTGCAAAAATATCACTTTTTGTGTCTATATTTACAAAAATGCAGAGGCAAAGTCAATTTTCTCATACTGATTCCCCCTCAAACAAACACGAGTCAAACCATGTCCGAAGCATCTCAATATGAGCAAGAAGATCCCTATAACGCGGCCAATCCGGAGGTTTCGGAATTGCATCGAAAGCAACTTTACAATCTAACCCAATGATAACATCAGAAACACGCAGGTCGCGTAAGCTCTACAAAGACCATATGATGCAATTAACTTTTATTTTTGAAACAAGAAAACTTGACAAAAAAAAAAAATTTAAATATTATTTTATTTTTATTTTCTTTAAGGTTTTTTTTGTCTTAAACTAACTTTTTTCCAATTAAAATGCGTCAAAGCTATTAATTTTAGTTTTTAGAGAACGATTACGTAAAAACATGAAGAAAAAAAATGTAAAAAAACTTAGGACATGATTATGAGTGATAAATAAAAGTAAATATAAGAAATTTTTAATATTATAAAATTTTTATATATTTATCGAAACTATTTTTGGATTTCTAAATATATAATCTATATTACCCAGTGGATAAATATAACATCTCTCTTTATCTCTTTCTATTCATCAATCCCAATACAATTAATATTATAAAATTTATATATTATCTCAATCATATTTACTATCTATAATCATGTTTTTTAGATAATAGTTGCTGTTTTTAAAATTGAAATATATTGAATTGGTTTTATTTAAAAAAAATAAAAGTATTTTTCTCATATAAACAAACAAAATAAGAAGAAGAAATGGAAAAGGAAGTGTGGGACCAGAAAGAAGGTAAGTGGAGCACGCAAACGGTGGCGCGTGGCTCAAAGCACTGTCTCCCCCTTCACAGACTCTCTTTTTCCCGCCATTTAGCCGCCTCTGCAATGTTGGGTCCCACTTTCCCGCCCATTATTCTTCCCGCCCAAAATAAGAAACTGCCACCACCTAACATGTCTCATCTCCTGCCACGTACTCACTATCGTCACGTGTCATTTTCCCATGTGCGAACGGGACTCACGAATCCCTTTGTTTCGCTCGCTTCTCAAGGTCACCTTATTGCCA